CTCTCTAGCATCAGTCATCCTTTTATTGTTATTATTAAGTTACCAGTTGTTTTGTTTCTATTTCATGTAAAACCTAAAAAAGAGGAGGTCTCTTGTGATGGTCTCTTTCCATCACAGTTTGAAGTTAAATGGTGAGCTTTCAAGTATATTTTTGCAATTATTTTGAGTATCTTTGTTAGATCTTTGTTGTCTAATATTATTTTCTTGGCTATTTCTCTGTGAACCTTTTCCTTATTTGATTTAATTTGATATTTTGTCTATTTGATCATGTGGTTGCTCTTGTTGTAACACATCTACATGCCTTTGGGTTGTGGGAAAGGTCTTAACACCAATTATTCAATTATTGTGAGCTATTCATAAGACAACTAATCTTTTCCGAGACCTTCTCTGTGTGGAAAGAATACATATGAAAGGTGTTTCGAGCAACCTGTGTCAGATTTCAGTTGAATGATAATATCATCAGGTTAGACTTGATGTCCCGCTGCATGCTAAAACTAAATCCCAGTCCCTCTCTAATGTCTGAAGCGACAGACACAGAGACAGACAGAGAGACCCGTTGAGCCATACATGCATCCCCGAGGAAAGTGGCTGCTCCTCCTTTTTCCCGGGCTCAGTTACTGCCTCTTCTATTTCTATCTGACCAGCTGTGCGGGCATGCCAGTGACGCTCTCAATTTCAGCCAATACGTCCCTCCAACACACGCTTTAAGCTCCACCCTGCACTCTCGCAAACACATTCATCTTACACATTTGATTTGGTGCCAATCTTTCAATAGGACTGGTTTTTTGAGTCTGTGGCAATCAATATGTCAGTGCTCTCATTACATTACATGTCACTTGTTGACGCTTTTATCCAAATCGACTTACATACTCAATCCTGCGGGCAATCCCCACAGGAGCAATTTGGGGTGAAGTGTCCACAACGACATGCTGACTGCAGTGGGGTTTGAACCTGTGCTCCCTTGATCCGAACACCAACGCTCTATCCACTGCGCCACACGCCTCCTTTCCACGCTTTCCACTAGTGTGTGAATCTTTGTCTTTACACGCATTTGTTTACCTGTAAGTCAGTGCATGTGTGATTATGTGGGCCCATGCATTTATCTGCAGTGTGCGTGGTGTTGCATTTTCAGTTTATTAAATAAAGGACATCAAACTGCCCATAGCCCTGCAATGAAACAACACAGTCTCACGGCATTTAGTGCTATAGTCACGAAATTAATCTATTGATTCGTGTTCATCAACACGATTTTCGCATTTTTTTCGTGTCACACAGAACGATTTTAAAAGCAATGTAAATAATAACAAATTAGAAGGAAAAAGAGATTAACTAAAAATACAGATTTCAGTATTCTGACACAGAACGATTTTAGAAGCAATGTATTTCTATTGGTAGTATGTTTCGTGCCCGCACCAAATAATAACAAATTAGAAGGAAAAAAATATTTCAGTATTCTGAGGCTCTGAGCTCCATTTCTTTTCCTCGCGGACGGCAAAAAAACTGAGACATTATACAATTTAAAATAAAAAGGTTAGGGTAAGATATTGAGTAAGAAAATGTTTTATGAACCACACAGCTTCTGGTATTCCAAGACCCAACCGGACAAAAAGACGTGGTGCACGCACGAAACATACTACCAATATAAATACTTTGCTTTTAAAATCGTTCTGTGTGACACAAAAAATGCAAAAATCATGTTGGTGAACACGAATCAATAGATTAAATTAATTTTGTGACTATAACACGAAATGCCGTGAGACTGGGTTGAATGAAAAGCACACACTGAGTCAGATTTGGAGGTTTCCCCCTCATATAAGCTACTAGACATTATGTGTAAATATTACTTAATGTTCCTGCGTTAAACAACATGTATAAGTTTAAAGCAAGAGTATGCTTTTTGAGGAATTATTTGTTTCAACAGTTATATAATATCACGTTACCAACCAGTCCCCCTCCAAATCATATACTGTATGATCTGAACTACACTATAGTATCTGGGAATACATCGTCCCATCAAAATTAAGTTTGACATTCTGGATAGCCTACTACACTTTATTTGCCAATACCTACTTTATATAACAATGAGATGATTAAATCAATCTGTATGGTAGCTAAATATAAACGCAAAATTAGCAACCTAGCTAGCCTACACAGATGGGTTACTAGCTAATTTAGCCAACTTAGCTAAATAAAAAGATATAGAATAAAGCAATAAAAGTGTAACAAAAAATGTAACAGCAAAATACAATAATTCCCAGGCCAGGACCAGTAACAGCCTGGTTGTCAAGAAAATAGTCTAGACGTCAACATTTTATGAAACTAAACTAGCGTTGTATACACACAGCTAGCAACCTAGCTAACTCACCTAGATGGGGTCCTAGCTAATGTTGCTAACTAAGCTAAGTACACAGATAAAGAAATCAAAGGGTAAACACAAAAATACGTTTTTCACAATTACCAGGCCAGGAACAGAAACACCCTAGTTGTCTAGAAACTGATCCTGACTTAGAAATAGTTTGATAAACTAGCATTGTATACAAACACAAAGCTAGCAACCTGGATGGGATCCTAGCTAACTTAGCTAAGTACAAAGTAACAGAAAACTCAAAGCGTAAAACAACTTTCTGTTTTATCTGGAATTATGTTTTGGTCAGTTCCCAGTCCAGGACCAGTCGCGCCTGTTGTCTAGAAACTGGTTCTTACGTAGACAAAGTGAGTTATTAAACATGGTCAGAGTTTGGCTATCGTCGAGACGTATCAAATACACATTGAAATAGAGAAAGTCTGTTCAGCAACTGCAAAGAGATAAATGTTTACTAAAGTCAGAAAAACAGCCTTGCCTGTATATTTGAGGGCATAGGGTTAAAGGAGTAACATCAGAAGGCCGTAGGCTGGGTTATTTCAACATATTGACTCAGGGAAACACACACTGAACATTTGACTCAAGGGGAAAAATACTGCTGAGAACATAAAACCATTGGAAAGTCTCCTTAACGTGTCCTACGTAGGTTACTGAGCCGGAAACATATACGATCCTAAATAAAACCTGCTTTATGTTGCAGCCCTGTGGACGGCAGCAACGCTCTTAGGTTGTCCTGGTTCAGAAGCTGGAGAGGAAATACTCCTCCTCAGCATGGTAGATCAACAGCAAATAAGAAATTCCTGTTAAATGTATAGCCATCTGTATCCTCTGAGTCCCCCCCGCTGTATTTCTTATCTGTTTGAACCGTAACTAAGGGGCAATCCTGACTCAATACATTTTTGACTTAAATGTGGTGCATGTGCAACTGGATCAGGGCCTGATGAATACCAGCCAGCTTAGGTCGCAAGTGATAGGATATGTGCTGCGGTGGTGGGTTTGGTGAGGGGAGTTAGGGACTCCCTCGGATGGGTTTAAGGAGAAGGGGGCGGGGTATGCTGCAGAGATGTCATGGGGCAATGCATCGCCTGCATTCAGTGGACAGTTACTATACTGTTCTCAAGTACACGTTTGAAGTACTTCACTTGAGTATTTCCATCTGAAAAAAAATATATATATATCTTCCCACCTCTTTTCGGATGTGTAATTAAGTAGATTATTTGTTGATACATAACTTAGAATCAGTAATATTTTTGTATACCAATTTGACACTGATTAATTTTTTATTGTATAATAATTCTGTAAAATGTTTGTATTATTGTTTTACACATTCGAAACAAATCCAATCAAATCCAATAAAAAAATCCATCTCCTGCTAATTTATAGTTCTTCACTTCAATTAAGAAGCAGATATGTATTTGACTGCTTAAGATTCAATGACTAAATATCACATTTATAATAAACAAATCAAGTATTATGTACTATTTAAGGTTAAGAAGATAACACTTTAGGAAATTCATTAGCTACAAGAAAGTATATGTAGAATAACAAGCTTATACTCTACCGGCTGCAACAGTAATACAATATCTTTTAAAGTTCATTGAGATGCTAATAATCTTTTATTACAAAAGAACTGCGGTGTTACTACTTATAGTTAAAAAAACAAATACTTCCGTCTAAAAGGAGCTAGATTTATGTACAGATGGATGTTCGGAAAGTAACCGCTTAGGCCTTCTTACTTTAAGTCTCCGTTAAAGCCAGGGTTTAACATGAAGGCATAAAACGTGTCCCGTTTCGTTCTTCCTATAGTGTGCTGTACTGTGATATACCCCGGTGCGTCGCCTGATCCCCAAATAAACATATTTATGTATATTCCACAGCCTCTGTAAACCTCATCACATTTAAGATTAGCTGCTGAAACAGATCCGTTCTTATCTGATCAGAGCTGTGTGTGTGTGTGTGTGTGTGTGTGTGTGTGTGTGTGTGTGTGTGTGTGTGTGTGTGTGTGTGTGTGTGTGTGTGTGTGTGTGTGTGTGTGTAGTAGTTACGTAGTAGTGTAGTAGTAGTAGTAGTAGTAGTAGTGTGTGTGTGTGTGTGTGTGTGTGTGTGTGTGTGTGTGTGTGTGTGTGTGTGTGTGTGTGTGTGTGTGTGTGTGTGTGTGTGTGTGTGTGTGTGTGTGTGTGTGTGTGTGTGTGTGTGTGTGTGTGTGTGTGTGTGTGTGTGTGTGTGTGTGTGTGTGTGTGTGTGTGTGTGTGTGTGTGTGTGTGTGTGTAGAGTAGTGTGTAGTGTGTGTGTGTGTGTGTGTGTGTGTGTGTGTGTGTGTGTGTGTGTGTGTGTGTGTGTGTGTGTGTGTGAATGAGAGCTCTGTCAACGAGCGCTTGAACTCAGCTCCGCCATCAACAAGTTAGTCGAGGAGTCCCACAGCTGTCCCGGCCTGCTATGTGTCCCGGGTCAGAGGTCACAGCCCCGCTTTTCAACACCTTTCTCGCAGTCTTTTTGCCCGTCAGCAGTCCTGACATTTCAAGTCATTCCTCCTCACTCGTGTGTGTGTGTCAACCGTGTGTTAACTTTATGTTAGGGGCTGAAATATAATTTCGCCTGTTAAGCTGCTCCCTCAGCGGTGGATTGGTTACAGGGTGGGATGAGGTAAGTGTTTACATTCATACGCAGTTGCAGTCGTTGCTCAATCCACATGAAGTGACAGACAGGCACAGGCCTTTCACCACTGGATTTAGCAGCAGACTGATATAAAAGTTTTTAAAGTGTCAAAAGCTGTTTTATTTCTTGCTCTGTGCAGGTGGGATCGGAGAATCGTACAGGAAAAAGCTAAAAACATTAAAAGGAAAAGGACACCGTTTTTTATTTGGTTAGAGGACATTTATTTTACATTTTGCTTTGCTCTTGTTTTTCTTTACGAAGTTTACATTAAGTGTGTGTGTGTGTGTGTGTGTGTGTGTGTGTGTGTGTGTGTGTGTGTGTGTGCGCGTGTGTTTGTGTGTGTGTGTGTGTGTCTGTCTGTATGTCAGAGATGTGTGTGTGTGTGTGTGTGTGTGTGTGTGTGTGTGTGTGTGTGTGTGTGTGTGTGTGTGTGTGTGTGTGTGTGTGTGTGTGTGTGTGTGTGTGTGTGTGTGTGTGTGTGTGTGTGTGTGTGTGTGTGTGTGTGTGTGTGTGTGTGGGTAAATGAGAGCTCTGTCAACGAGCGCTTGAACTCAGCTCCGCCATCAACACGTTAGTCGAGGAGTCCCACAGCTGTCCCGGCCTGCTATGTGTCCCGGGTCAGAGGTCACAGCCCCGCTTTTCAACACCTTTCTCGCAGTCTTGTGTGTGTGTGTGTGTGTGTGTGTGTGTGTGTGTGTGTGTCTTCAGCTTGGTGCTTTGTGGATTAGACTTGTGTCAATACAGCATTGAATACATTCAGCCGCAAAGCATTATTGAGGATACTAATTTTTTGATATACTCAACGTCTGCTGTTTCTAATTATGCTTCTCTCTTTTCCTTTCTTCCTCTACTCTCTGCAGTACCTGCACGCTTTCGTCAACGATGTCACCGTCCTGGTCCCCGTGCTGAACGACTCCAAACACTCTTTTGCCATCTACACTCCTGAGCGGACCAAACAGAGGTGGCCAATCAGACTCTCAGCAGCTACAGAGCTGGAGATGCAAGACTGGGTACGTGTGAATGCTTACACACAGAAAACCATAACGGTGCATAGTTTACGTTGGGAGACTGGCCTTCCCATCGGGTCTACTCGCTGCTACTGGTTTACATTTGTCGCTGCGAGATTGTATACTTATATTGTTTATTGTTATTCGCATTTCAGAGAGCACTTTTAGTACCACTCTTCTTTTATAATGTTGACCTTTTTATACTGCGACCTTCTTTCTTTATTGTTTCCAATATCAGGGAGTGCCGTCGTCATTGTGTTGTATTGTTGTTTTGCGCTCCAGTAAAATGACAACAAAGTTATTTTTAACTTCTCATTCGTCTCTCCCTCCCTCTCCGGCCCGCTCCGCCTGCCTTCCCCTCTCTACCGACTGAAGCTGGCGTTGTTGAGCGTCTCCTGCTGCGACTCCAGAGGGATCCAGGGTCCTCCCTCCAAACAGGCCTTCTGGTCCATCACCTGCAAAGGAGACATCTTCGTCAGTGAGCCCTCCCCCATTCAGGAGGCCATGCCTTACCCCACATCCTGCGACCAGATGTAAGAAAACCCAAGCATCACTTGTGCGGTGGTGGAAGCAGTATACTATAAACTATAGTTATCTAAATTCTTCCACCTTTATGAAGCATTTTTTCCTTATTTGTATTTCCACATGTATATTTTTTAACTCTTTAATGCCATTTTATTTCTATTTCAGAAATATTTTGGACTGTTTATTTCTAGTGTCTTAATTTCTCTTATGTACATTGCCTTGTTTTTGATGCTGCTGCAACGCAAACGTGTCCCAAATTGGGATCAATAAAGCACTTATCTATCTATCTATCTTTTGTACAGGTTTTGGCGGCAGGTAGGGGGTCACCTCCGTATCGTGGAGTGCAACAGTGTGGGCATAGTGTGGGGGATCGGCTACGACCACACGGCCTGGGTCCACACCGGAGGATACGGAGGCGGCTTCTTCCAGGGCCTGGCCAGCAGCACGGATAACATTTACACACAGTCAGACTCCAAGAGCGTCTACATCTATGAGAACCAGAGGTGGAACCCCGTCACCGGATACACCAACAGGTGAGACTCAAGCTAAAGAGGGGGATACTCTTACATCTGGCATCTATCAAATACATCCGTTTAATTTTTGTTTAATAGAAACCTTTTCTAAACCCATTTCTTTGGTAGCTGAATTGTCTCCAACACGGAAATTCCTAGGCTAATTTCCTATATAGACACCACCATCTAAAATGAAAAGAACAGTCAACGTTATATCTTTGAGTTGTGGACAAAACAAGTCATTTTAAGAAGTCATCTTGGGCTACTAGGAAGCAATGATTACCATTTTTGAAATGTTATTGACCATAACTACTAATCGATTATTCAGTAAAATATTAAACAATTAAAGTAAATGTTACATGCCGGCCTAATTTAAAGTGTGTGGTTATTTCAGAGGGCTCCCTACAGACCGCTACATGTGGAGTGACTCATCAGGACTTCATGAGTGCACAAAAACAAATATGAAACCCCCCTCCCCTCAGTGGACATGGGTGAGTACACACACACACACACACACACACACACACACACACACACACACACACACACACACACACACACACACACACACACACAACAGATGCCCCCTGACGCTCATTCTCATAAAGCGGGCACGTGATCGACAGCCCCAAGTCCGCCGGCCTGCCAGCCTCATGTCATTGTGTTCCCCTTGGGCGGGCAGCCGGCGTCCCTAAATACCCCTTTGTTTTAGGTGGGATAACAAAGCGGTGACCATGCCGCTGGTGTGGCACGCGCACAGCCACTCATCCCCCTGGCCTGTGACCTAAACAGGTGGATAGGAGGGAAGGGCTGGTTGTGGCTAGGGGGGCGAAGAGAGGGAGGGAGGGAGGGGGAGGGGAGAGAAGAGGCTGCATCTGTCCCCACACTCAACGTCTCCCTGGGTCAGCCACTGCCCCATATGCTCTCAGGAGAGAGGGAGGCACGCATGCAAACCCAGACTAACAGGTGGAGGGGGGAAAGGGGGATTAAGAGAGGTACAATCGATCAGAGGAGGATAGGGGGATTTTGAAACTGTCAAATTAGCTGTATAAAAAGAAAGAGGGAGATTTGGCTATCCTTGGAAGATTTCACTTAGAGGAGATTCTTAACCCGTTAAGCCATATTAAATGTTTGGCCTGCATTATGAGGAGCACATTTGGTCTCTGCCTTAGGCCATATTGGCTCACTCCTGAGCGTCATCTCTTCAACAACTGTTGCTGTGTTTATGCAGGTGGCTTTGTTTTTAAGCCAGAAACCAATTTGTACTGAACAATGTGGTGCTTTCTTAATAGCATAGTATTAAGTTGGGTTATATGCACTCGAGTTGCATCTATTTATTATGTGTTATGTCTGTTTGGACCATCAGATGTTCATGCAATTTCTTTTCCATAAATAGAAGCACAACATTCACGTATAGTCATAGAGACATAAGACTGCACCACAGACAAAGTATGCACCTCACACTAGAACCACAAGTACACACAATGTCAAATAAATCTTTGCATACTAAGAGGTGGTAGATTTTTCATGGCATAGACTCATAACCGGATGCACACAGGTGTAAGTAATAACATTAACGAAGGCTTAGATGTACACCTAGACCCTGCACCCCTCATTAATGTTCTTAATTACACCTGTGCTGTTCCTGCTGTTTCGAGTCATTACATCTGTCATCATAAAGATTTTGTATTCATTTGAAGTTGTCCCTGGTCCATTATTCTAACAGGAGTTTCGAAGACCCTTTAACATCATGCGTTCCCACTGAAAAGGTAACACAATTGGATTGAGATTTGAGTTGTTTCTGGTAGAAAATCTTCAGTGCCGTCGATGTTTTGTTTCTCGAAGTTGAACTCTTCTAGAACTTATGTGATAGACGCTTTCATGTATTCAAGGCACGTTGCATGAAGGCATACACTTGCATGCGAAGCGCTTAGCTTCTGTGCGATGACACCCTGAAACAGTTCATTGATGTATAACACTCAATGAAATATTGAAATAAGCAAAAACAGATTCCGTCTTTGGGCTGATTTGCCTTCCTCACTCTTTGCACTGCAGTCTCACTAAAACTGTCCATCTAGGCGGGGGTCTCCAAACTCTAATCTGTTGGATGCAGCTCATTAATTTGTGGTTCCTACTATAGGCCCACTGTCTCACAAGAGATTGGTGTTTGCAGGAGATTAAGAGATAAAGTGATTGTTAGAGAGGTGTGACTCATCAGTGAGGCCTCATCAATACACCTGTGGTAATCGTTGTACGGAGAGAAGAGGGTCTTTCCCTTGTAGTACCGTGTGGCTTAAGGAACCCTGTGTACTTATTAAAACATGTTATAAAACTAAACATTGTTGTAATGATGGATTACACAAAGAAGCTTGCTAATTAATTCAGTGAATTTGCTGAATTCATGGGGCCAAGGATTAAAGTGAAATGAGTAAATGATATTATTACACTTTTTCTCTTTTGTAGCTGTTTTTGATTTACCGTGTAGCCTGTGGTGAGAATACTGGCAGAATGGAGAGAATTTGGCTCCGTTCACCATGAAGTCATTAAATTTGTAAGCTATTTGTGATCAAAAGGTGTGTTTGAGGCCATTAACTATGGAGTTTGATCATGGCTTACATGCAATGTCAAATGTCAGCTGTTCCTGCTATTTCTCCCAATTTCTGTTGAAAGTAAGCATTACACCAGTAGGGAATATCAAAAGCTTCCTATGTAAATGTTGTTAAATACCACAACTGGACTTTACTATGCTGCATTGTTTCTTACTCACATTTGATGCCCAAAATCCTCACTTTGCTTCAACTCAGCTGGATTTCCGGTGGGATTACAGTGGGTTACGTCAATCAGTTATTTGGCTCAGATCACGCGCCCTCATAGTGTACATTTTATGCAGAAATATTTTGAACTTGAACCAAACAGAAGCTTGGTTAAAATGTATTGGTTATTTATGGAGCTTGTCCCCCCCCATTTCCATTTAAAAGTGTGTATGACATCACCATTAAGAGAAAAGCATAATCTCAAAAAGGAGATTTTTATCAATGGTCGGGGAGAATTTAATCCAAGCAGTTTGAAAGACCTTTCAGGCTTTAACAACTTCACAATTTAATGTCAACATTCTAATGTTGCCATCCTGAAAAACAATGCTCATCAATCAGTGACTGACTTTTTGTTTTAACATATATATTGCAAAAAAAAGTAGATTTTATAAAACATACAAATGGACCTCTTTAGTGCTAACTAGGAGCTTTAACTAACTAGGTATTAACTTGACCCATTATAATGTGTTTTTTAACATATGCTGAGATCTGCTAATCTTCTTATGGCTTTTCAGTGCCCCTGAATAGCTTAACAAAATATGCTTCAGTAATGGATGGTTATATCCTCATCCATCGCCCTCCTCCCACCTACTATAACTTGAAATAGGCCATCAAGTGGCTAATGAACTGATAAGCCCTCTGTGTCCTGTGGGGCTTATGAACATCATAAGCCAAATGTTTAGGCATATTTGGTAAGACTGCTTTTTAAAAGAGCGCTTATGCGAGCAAAGGGCCCTGCTGAAAAAAAGTCTCTACAGTTGAAACAGTATGATAATGTGTTTTAATAAATCACTGCAGGTTATGGAGGAAACTGTAAAATATTTAGTTTTTTTTTTTATTTATCTCTTCTGTGCGGTGCTCCAGGAAGAATGTGTGGCCCTTTGCTTCGTCAGACCTCCAGCTAGTCAAGCTGTTAGTATCATTATCAGTTTTGGATCTCTGTAAATCCATGGATTTGTGTGAGCAGTCTGAGAAATTAAAATAACATGCTTTTTACTGCGCTTACTTCAAATCTCTTTAGACTTCATTTTTTAAAACATCTAAATCTGTTATTATGTATGGCTATACAAACCCCTTTTAATTTAATCTTTGATAAGATTATCAAATTCATTGATGATGTCACAAACTTAAATAATTTCCGAAAAATGTCGACTAAGCCTGGATAAACACTTTCAAGGGGATACTGCTGGATTAGCTTAAAACATGTTTATTTATGTGTTTTTTTTATTAGTTGTTGGCTCATTTTTCCACATCATTTTGTCATTGCTTTATTTGGTTTGATCAATACAATATCTTGCAAAAATTACACATATACTTCATTTATCATGCACCTCACCATGCAGGCTATCAGATGTGAAGGCAATGTGGTAATTTGAAGCTTAATTTATGTGATAGTGAATTTAGATCCCTAAATTAAGTTATACAATTTTAACAAACTATGCCACATCAGTTTTTAATCTCTCGCTGTCTTTCTTACTTTTCTTTCTGTATAATTATATATTTTTCTTCCCTTTTCCAATAGGCTATGTTTTCATAAAAGTCACGGAGAGTTAAACAGCAGAGGTGTATATTGATTACTAATTCAAACACCTGCAGAATTTTTGCAGGAAAAACCTTGAGGCAATTTCCCAATCACAAAAATAATACACTGATTTATTTATTATAGTTTGTAAATAAAATAATTTTTTCAACCTAGTCTCATTTCATTTTTTTAACTGGGGATCAGACCAAATACTGGGTGAACAATCCCCCGTTACCCTTGCAGGCGTTGCGGCCTCAGCCTCTAACTGTGATCAGGCGGATGGTTGGCGGAGGGTCACTCGTGTTTGTGGCCGACCGGACTGCACCCAGGCCGGGGACAAGGGGCGCTGTGCAGCCCGTTCTTAGACAAAAACCAAGAGGGATTAATGCCGCGTCTGTTGGTCCCATATGCTCCTCAGCGCTGCTTTGGTCTTGATTAAAACTCATTGTATGTATGAAGCATTGTGGAGGCCGGATGTCTAATCCTCCTCATGACTTGTGTGCACTTTGAAGACACGAGGCTCCAAGGTTACAATAACAAGCGGGCTGAAGCCATTGTGTTTCACTTGATATTGGAAGTATCAGTGAGCATTGATTAGGGCCAAGGGAGTGCATTGTGAAACTTGGAAATGTTAAGTGACAGCGAGGGTGTCTGGTGACTTTGTGTTACATCTATCAAGGGCCTTGCTTATCATTAAATATGATAGTGTTTCAGTTAGTGAGTGATACTTACTCATATGACATTTGTGTGTGTGTGTGTGTGTGTGTGTGTNGGGGGGGGGGGGGCAGCTACTATTGGGAGGGTCATATTTAGTTTTTCTTCTTTTGGTGCAGTCTTCAAACTTTTTTTATTCTGCCTTTCAGTCACTTGATGCATCTCTTTCGTTCGGAATAGCAGTGTTTCTACAGCTGACATTTAAATGTGACCCGGCAGCCTGAAACACTTTGTTTCATTCTTTAGTTGGAGCAGTCTGGATGGAGGAGTTGTTGACACTGAGAGGAGACGCATCTCATGAATATTCAGGCTTCCCTCAGCCTGATCTATTGTTTCCAAGTTCAATTGTTGCATTGTTTATCTCCATAACGATGCATATGCGTTTTGCTAAACTTGCCGTTGTATTGTGGCGATATTATAATTGATTCTTGAATATTCTAGCGCTAAAATCGGCCTGTGTTATACATTAAAGAAATAGGCACCAGCATATAAACAGCTATTTCTGCTTCACCCTTGAATAAGTTATGGTTACGGGCCATTGTGTGATTAAGTCTTTCAAAAGTACAATCAAACCCCGTAAAACACTCGCACACCTTTTTCTCTGTCCACGGAGTGGAATCAAAGTCGCCTTCTCTTTAACGCTTCGATTATTTCAAGCAACGCTTTTAATTAGTGTGCTCCTTTAGCGGAGACTCCAATGAAAGAGAGATTATTGGCAATGTCAAGGATGCTAATTGATTGTTGGACTTCTAACAATTAGCCCACTGCCGAGCCATGTCGACTCATTACAGATCCCAGAGCCGCTCTGACTTTATTGTCTCCTGTCGTCAAGCTGACTGCACCGTTACTTTCAAGATGGAGGACAACAAAAAACTAATTACAAACAAAACCCCCTTTTCAAAATAATGAAAAAAAAAAAAAAAGCAAATCCACATTTTTTTTAAGAACCTGTAACCTCTTCAATTTATTTACTGTGACGAGACATGTACATAATAATCTCTTCCCCAGTTTGCACCATGCAGGTGGAAATTATATAGTTTTACTTATTAGTGCTGTAAAGCACTTTGAATCGCCACGTGCTGAAAAGTGCTATATAAATAAAATTGCCTTGCCTTGCCCTACTGTAAAGAGTCATTAAACAACCTAATAGTCCATTGAATAATTTAACTTTAATTCAGGTTAAAGCACACACTTTGTCTCTTTAATCAGAAACGTTATATGTTTAAGGGCTGAGTTCTTGCAGGTTTTTCCCTTGGATGACTTTATATTATTTTTACTTCACGACCCAGTTTCATATTTACATGTTACACCTACACTGCCAACAACCAAAAAACCATCAGCAACACAAATAACTGCAGAGATTTGCACTTTCTTTTTTTACTTTGTTACTCTTATATTCCTGATGATTTGAAGCTTTTCTGCAGTTTCAGATGCTATAGGCAACATGTAATCATAGCAAATTGGTTACTTGATAAATGAATAATGAAATAGCAACGTGTGTTTTCATGTTTTCTTGTCAGATGAAATATGAGGCTCCATATTAGAGGTCATATTTGGGGATCAGGCATGTAAACCCATGCGGTGAGCTTTGATTGGGGCCACTGCTGCCCCTGCGCCCCAGAGAAACCCCCGCCGGTAAAATATTGGGATTAGCATCTCTTGGAGGCCGGGATTAAACACTGCTTTCTCAAACCGCACACTCTCTTTGTTGAGACTATTTGAATTGAATACCGGAAACTAACAAAGGAAAAAAAAGGTAAACGCTGCCACCTGAGCAGAGGCTGAACTAAGAACCCATATTTCATTTTTATTAAAGCATATGTTTAAAATCAAAGAATGTTGTTAACATACTTTTAAACCAAGTATCTCCCTCATTATGTCTTTTTGGTAATGACGCATGAGGAAAGAAAGTGTGGTTACCATTATTATTTTTTTTCATTAAAATAATTGGATTTTCTTTTTTTATTTAGAAAAATCTGACTCTTATCATAAATCAAATAGTTTTTTTACTCGTTATTTTTGTTTTCAGTGTTCATTTGTAATTGTAGTTTTCCCATCATCCATTTTAATCGTTGCTTGCTATAGAATATTTCTGTAACTCAAATAAACTGAATTGCTCACTTAAAGTGGGCTAACAATTTGTTCATAACATATTCTCCCTCTCTGCAGGATACACGCAGACACCACACATATGCACGCACACACAGATCGTCTCTTGATGAGAGAGTAAGCTCACAGGACCTTTATTCATGTCTTTTCAGCGGTGAGGTCTAACCATCGGAGCCAGTAAAGGATCCACAATCACCGTGTTGAGATCAATGGAAGGGAGCAAGTGTGGAGCTCTCAGCAGCCGAGAGTCATTTCCAGTATGGCTAATCTTTGATTATTACTACCATGTTCTTGGGGAGTCTCTTCTCTCTTTGTGAGGCCGGTGATTTAACCATTAGCATCCTTCGGTGTTCAAAAAGTTAGAAATCTATTCAAATCACAGCAGAGAGTCTGGTGCGAGGAGGGGGGGGGCTCACAAATTGCATACAATACAACAGATCACAGTTTCGAAGGCTAGCACAGATAAAAAAAAACACATATGTACCATTTATATAAGACACACACTGATTGTCTCTTAGAAACTACATAATGATTCTTATAAACACTTTTTTTCTTAAATAAAGTTGTGCACCCATGTCCACATCCGTGTCTCTGCCAGCAGCTCGGCAAAGTTGTGTAAAGGAGGTCACTTCACCAGGAGAATGAACTGGGGTTTGTTCGAGGATAAACATTAGTTCCGTGGCTGTGGTGTACTTTTATTTCAGAGTCCACTCTGTGTTGCCCTCAACAGGTGTTTTTACGCATAGAGGCACACACTGACAGACATGGATGAGGGGCTACAACCAGTAAATGATCAGGAGAAAAATCTCTTTGCCAGTGCTAAAATAAATTAAACCTCTCCTCTAGGAGGACCAAAGACCGTCATGCCGAAAACCCGAGGCCCCTGAGAGCCTGCCTGGCCGAGCCCGGCTGACACTTTAACATGTCGGATGTGTTGTACAGAGGGAGGGCAGCGCCGTGTCTGATGTGATCGTCACTGTTTGTGCACTTTTTTGACAGCTGATTGCTCTGTTCACAGGACCTGGAATTTCCACGAAGAAGCTTGATCCTTATAATCCAAGCAATCGGCATTGAAGTTCAGCTTCCACGACGCCGCCTGGTCCTTATAATCCAAGCAGTCTGCTGTGGAGTTGAAGCCGATGCCGGACGTCCCGTAGCCCTGGGTGGAGAGGGACGCCGGGGACTGGTTCAGATGGCTTGTCACCGCGTTTGTGCTCATCGGACTGAGGGTTGAGCCAGGGCCTGACAACTGGTGGTGCATGGGAGTGAGGTAAGAGCCACAGTCCATGCCGCTGAAGTAGGAGGTTGAGCCGGCGTAGCTCTGGCTATAGCCCGAGGCCTGGGTGTAGGTCATGGGGTAAGACCTCTGCATGCAGGAGGAGGAGGTAGACAGGGGGTCTGCGAGCGGAGAGATGGACGCCGGGCTCCAGATGGACGCTGGGGCGGTGCTAGTGGGTATGGCGGGGACGGCGGTGGTGCTGGTGGGGGGCGTGAACTGCCCGCTGGCGCCGCTCTCCGGGCTCGCTTCTCTGGTTGGGGAACTTTTCTTTTTAACTGGTCGCACCTTGTTCTGCCCCCCGTTCTGCTGCTGCTGCTGCTGCTGGCGACACTTTGCCCGTCGGTTCTTAAACCAGACCTGGAAGAGTCACATAATGACATGTTATTGCTGAGATATTGATTATAATGTAAACATATCTCAAACCCTACGTTGATAGCACATATATTATATATTTTGTATCCATGGAAAATAAATACCATTTCATTTATTTACTGTCAAAATCAAGATTTTTCTAGAATGTATCTAATTTAATTGTATGGACTGAAGGGAATCTACGGTTAAGTGAAATTATCTCACCCCATGGCAAAAGTTTTCCACTTGATTTAAGGAAAACACAATACTAAGCTTCTGACATTGTGTCAGTCACGCGTTAGCTTAAGTGTTTCTTGCTGTGCATTTATAAAATATGTTGATGTATGGCTAATGTTCTGGTTAATCACCTGTACTCGGGACTCGGGTAGATTTATTTTCAGCGCCACCTCTTCGCGCATGAATATGTCCGGGTACCGAGTTTTGCCGAACAACGACTCCAAAATATCGAGTTGTGCGCGCGTAAAAGTAGTCCTCTCTCGTCTCTGCTTCCGTGGAGTTGCTGCAATAAAAATAAAAATGTTAATCACATGAAACATGACACAAACGGAAAGGCAGGTGACAATATTACAAAAATGTATCAAAGGCAAATCTGTAACAACATCATTTGTTGTCGTTTGCGTAAATACGCACGATCCCGTGAGACCAATAATCTGGCAGAACATTTTTAACATTAAACGTACTTTAATATTATGTGCAAATTTGATGCAGTTTAGGCAAAAGTTGAAGCACTTGGCTAGTAATTGTTTCGGAAGGCACATCTAAAAATAGCATATCACAGGAGAGGGGATTTATTTTCCTTTTAAGTTAAATACGTTTGCGTAATCTGTTTGTTTTCTTTAGAAATTATTCCAAGCAACTGGTCTGCATCTCCCACAATTTAGAGCTATTTTTTTTATTTCAAAGCCTGGAAGTGTTTCCTAATTACACTGTAACATTTCCACTCCAGTACTTTTTTTTCTTGCTCCGAGCCATTTATGTTATTTGATTTCTCTACTCCTTATTTATTATTCAAAAAGTGCAAACCCACCTGGATAGCCAACTGATGGATGCAAGAGGTCCATTCCGGAAGTTGTTAAACTGAGGCCATTGACTGTGTAAGGTGGTTGCTTTAGATACGACATCATGCTAATGTTTGTCTGAGGGCTGAAGTTGGAGAAAATCTTGAAAATGGATGGAGCTCTCGATATGTACTTGGTGTCCTCCTGTTGGCCGTGTGGTCCGTGTTACACCGGGCACCTGATCCAAAAAGGACATGAGAAGAAGACACCGATTAGGATGTACGTTGAGAAGAGATATTAGGTTTGTTGTTACAAAAATAAGCCCTCTCCACATCCCCAACTGTCCTCTGCTCTTCAACCCCCCACACAAAAGGAACTCGCCGGCACTGTAATGGCACATAACTTTAAAGACAATGGCTCTTTTTTATATGAAGTACAATAAAAAGAGATATCGTCACTTTACCTGTTCAGGAATAAATATATTCTATTTTATTTTCAGGTTTTTCGGTTTATTTGGTGGTATTCTCTGTTTGACACTCTTTTTCGTGTACAGTTCTGTTTAGAAATGTCAACTAAAAATCAATGGGAGTTATAGAAAACTAAACACCTAATGTATCTTTCAACGAACAATCAATAATGATCATCAATTTAAAAATGACCATCCCTTTAGGTATACTTTCTGCTGTGAAAGTATCCTGAATTTAAAATGTGTTTTTTTACAAGCTTTGTTTGAATTTTTAGGGCAATTTAGATTGACTTTTTAATTTATTTTTCACGAGATTATTTGATGAAGAAACATTTTAAATCTAGTTAAAAATGCGTTCTCCTATAATACACGTAACCTTTAAAAAATAAATAAAAATAGAATTACATGAAGTTGATTGGTGAATGAGTGATTGCTGTCACTTCACTGACCCTCACCCGTTATCCCCTCAGCGCGTCTTGATTAGTTGATTTTTTTTTTCTCACAACATCCAACGGTTTTAACCCCCTCATCCCAATCTGTCACACTTAAAACACACCCATCCACCAGACACACCCGCTCAATAATGATCACTCTGTCCAATAATTAATTATGATAAATGTTTCTGTTGATGAATTAACGAGACAATCAGAGTGGCATGAGTGGAGCTGCAGTTTGGTATCAATACAGCCCAAAGTGCTGCTAAAATACTGCTGCAAACCAGCAATGGTGTTTAATTATAATCATACTTTTGACGTGAATACTCATAAGCACTTAACGAAACATATTTTTACTCTGATTCTTTAAATTTTATAAATGTTAAAATATATTTAAATAAATGTAACCGAGCACAACTTGCTATTAAGGTGCATACAAACAGTCTATAACCAGATTGCGGTAAACACGGTTGAAATATATGAGATGTGACATGTTGGTTTTTGTTCTCCAATGACTCGTCTCTGGAGGCAGAGGAGAGCCAGCTCAGAGAAAGGCCGAAACATTTTTGTTCGATAGCAGCAGCCAGCAGGCCTATTTTTAGTGCAGCTTTCTGCCTCAGCCCTTCCTCAAATATTCATTGAAGTGTGTTTCGTGTAAAAATGTTTGTTGAGGACAAATGTGCAGTTTGAAATATTGAAGGGTTTATTATTTAGTGGAAACTTCGCCCACTAAATGCGGACTCGGTGTTCTCTGTCGACGCTCTGGCTCCAGTCAGTGAGTGTGACATTTGTAAAATATAAACTCCAGGTATCAAACCATTTAAATAAAACGGCAAAGGAATATTAGAAATGTGTAGCATTTAATCGGTCATTTGATCGATTTCATTAGCAGATTATGTAACTTAATCAGTTTGCTTCTAAAATTATCGGATTTTCTGTGTTCTCTGTTTACATTTTTATCATCGATTTATGTTCATAAAGATTTTGTTGAGCAGACTTACTCAGTGCTCTGCTCAAATAAAAAGGCTGACTTTAAGAGGGTTTAGCCCACATCTGCCTGCAGCCTCACTGGCATTTTCTTTAAATGTTTTCGTGGATTTTAATTCACCACCACTCTTTTTTAAAGAAAAAAAAATGCATATTTATTATATTAATAAACCTTTTAAAATATGGTTTCTTCTTATTCATTTTACTTCATGCCATTCGAGATTCATTATTGTGATATAGGCTAATATGTATAATAATGAATGGGGTAACTATAACTAATGATAATTTAAAACAACAATAATAGCTATAATTGAACAATAACAGTACAATATAAATACATTATAAAACTTACCCTGGTATCGACGACTGTGAAGTTCTTTGTCTACTTGGTTTCCTCCAGGAGAAATAATAAAACTCAGTGCAGAGAAATGGCGTCCCGGCGCATAAAACACACAAAACCGAGCAGGAGCAGGAGCGGTGGTCTGGTTCAGGACACAGTGCGGATAAAAGTTAAATGTTGAGCGGCTGCATCAGGTCTGAGCGGAGCGACAGCTGCGTGTAGCCTTTAGGATGTGTTGGTGTGTTGTGAGTGAAGTGGTTTGAGTTGGATTTTGTACAAACTGCCAGCCAATGAGAGCCGCAGGACTGAGCTGAGGTCTGTCTCCGTCTCTCACACCGGTGGGGAGGAAGAGGATTTTTTCCCCCTTTTTTTTCTCTCTGGGAACAAATGTCTCCAGCTACTTTTTTTTTGACGCACAGTCCTCAGCCAATGGCAGCGAGAGGGCGACTGACAACATCGCCACCCCACCGCAGAGAGAGTACATTAATAATAAATAAACCGTATGCCGGTGCCGTATGTGTGGACTTTAAACCGAGAAAAAAGTCACTTTAGTCGCCTTTTTAGTAGGCCTACATTTAAAATAATAGCAGTGGAAACATTGAACTGGAGGAACTTATATAAAGACTGAGTGGGTGATATGCACTATTAAAGAGTTTCCTGAAAACATTATGTGGGCATAGTATAGGCTACTAGTGGTGTGAATACATATATTTTTTTATAATATATGTATCTGCATCACTGCAAAAGTCATCCAAAAATCTTCTTTCTTTTTTTTTCAGATGTTTTAAATATTAAAAAAGTCCAATACAATCAAATAATATAAACGCATCTTAACATCGGTTTTCAAACAAAACAAATATAATAGTTTTGATGTATAACAGAGTGTTCAAATAAATATGGGACATAAGGACAGAAAGCAGTCTCCTGGACTGAAGCAGCTCTCCTGTGAAGGCTGCACCGTCCTCTCACATTCCAGCGCGTCGCAAAAAAAGGGGATTTAGAGCGACTTATTTTCTTAAAACTGTCCTCCCATCTGCATAGGCAGCCAGTCTGCTCCCATCAGCATGATACGGGCCTGCACGGAAATTCACCCACAATATTTACAGGGAGTTCCCACCGAGAGACACTGAGTACCGAGCTCCTGGCACCGGAGCTGCAGTGTGCACACACCCGGAGAAGAGGCGACATGTGGGGGGAAATAAAGTCCCGTTCTTCTGATGGAGACTTTCACTTATTTTACCTGACACGCGTTCTGCTAAAAGATGTGGAAGAAGAAAACTGTGAAGGTAAGTCTGTTTTATTTTAAATGTGATTAATAAGAAAATGTATTTTTAAATTTCTGTATTCTTACATTGTTAACAATACTAATACTAATAATAATACTAATAATATTTTATTTTATTTATTTACAATCATTTATCATATTTCCTATTTACTAGAATGTTTACAAGCTGCAAGGGACAAATAGGCTTCCTCATGTCACTTGAATGTTGAACCTGCGTGCCCATCTCAAAATAATATGCCGAAGGTTTTGTCACGGCTTGATAAATGTATCATCTTAAGAGGCTTTGCGGAACACCTACGCACACACTACACACAATCTCTCTCTCACACACACACACACACACACACACACACACACACACACACACACACACACACACACACACACACACACACACACACACACACACACACACTCCGCCTGCACGGACACACCCGCTCACTTCAGACAGATTTGAATATTGATTTAGATTTATAAACACAGGCAGACCGTGGGTTTTATGAATCGTCATTTTGCTGCCTCTCTCTGTGGCTCGTGTGGAAGGCCAGAGTCAAAGGTGCAGTGAAGGCTGCTGGGAGCACTGGTTTCCACTCAGAGTTGCAGCTTCACACAAACTGCTACAAACATATTTGTCAACTTCACAAACTCGATGTCATCTCTTTTGACAGATTTCGATCAGAGGGAGCCGCCGAATGGATCATAATCCAGGATTTCTTTGAACAAGCAAACTGCAGAGGAAAAGTTTAGCTGTAGTCTCGTAGCTTGGAGTCGAGGGACTGCAACACATCCAGGTATCCAGTTTGCTTATTTCCGGTGTATTTTTGTTAACATGTATTTGTGTTTTTACTGCCGAATAACATGTGCATTTTGTCATCTAATAGCATGAGTTAATTGATTCCATATGTTTATGTTAAAACACATGCCAAATAAGATAACGTCTGGTGTTTTTTAAATTATGTTTGGTCACAGTTGAGCCTTTCCAAAAAATATGTGGTTACACACTCCACCTCACTACAAAAAACATCAGGTTTAGCCCGGGATGTCAAGTTTAAATTAATAATATATAGACTTGTGCAAGTTGTGCTCTTCAAAAATGTTCCACGCCTTAACACGTTGGGCCCATTGGGCGATCTAGAGTTCTGCAAAGCAATAATTAGCTTGGAGCTAAAAACTGCTTTTTTTTTAAAAAAGGAAATAAATTGAATTTGCTCATATTCCAGCAGCTGCATGGTAATGTGCCTAACGCGAGACTTTCTAACTGCTGCGTGGAAAATCATGACGTGTGATGCAGTTATCTGCTGGATCTCACCGTTTAAATTGCTAAATAATTTATTTAAGTGTAAAGCCAGGCCCTCCGCAGGGACTTTGTATCTTAAAAGGACGTTTAAAGGGAGAAGGAGTTAAACGCCTCTGGCGAGCAGCGCTCCCACTGACTCCCGGCTAATTGACGACGACGGCTTTTATCTCCGCCTCTGCTACTCAACCTGAGGGTGAGGAGGATTTCACCAGGCCTCCTCCAACCTGTGATTTCTACCAGTTAATGCGCAGCCTATTCATCTTTACCAATGCATTTACAGGCGTGAATGTGTGACCCTTGTTTAATAGCCTGATAGAAAAATCTTACTTCAAGATTGGATAATTACTGGGCATGTAGCCATTTCTCCCACTGATCTGTTCCTTATAGGCATACAAGTAAAAAATCAACACATTATGGGATAAATAAATGTATGTTTCTAAAATTAAATAGAACAAATATAAACACAGCAGCCTGAGGTTTTAAATGTTTGCTATTTTGCAAAAATAAACCACAGATGTTGATTGTGAGTTGTGTGAATTTAAAACTGCATATTTACCACATGAATATACATCTGCTCAGCGTTCCTGTCCTCTGCGTTTTCCCTCCTTGTTTGATATTCGCATGGCTGCATGTGAGGAATGTGTTGGTGGAATTCATTCTGAGCTTAAAAAAAGTGTCAAAAAAGGAATAAAATCAAGAAAGCCGTTTCATATAGTGATACTCTTTGATGTCAAGGCAAATATTTTCTTATGCAATTAAAATGTGTTTTTAATCATATTGTTATTTTTAATAAATAAATAAATATCCACAAGGGTCTGTTCACCTTCCATACGTTTTGAACTAATCTGCATTTACAGTTGTACACAATTTAGTGATTATTTTGAAAGTAAAAATTGACATATAGCAATACATCATTTAAAAAACATTAAATCTAGTAGCATGTGGATGGGTAGCAGTTATTAAAACCAATGAGGATATGATCCTTATTTAAACCGTGCTATAAGATAATTATTGTGGAAAGATATGCAGTGTGTGTGTGTCTGGTTGTGTGTGTGGGTGACAGAGAGAGAAAGAGTGAGGAGCTGAAGTAGGATAATCACAAGCTGTATTTTAATTAGCCTGGCAGGTTTGATAGATACGTTGCCACTGCTGCTGCTTCCTTGTAAAAAAAGGTGCACTCCGAGCGAGGAAGGTGTCTAAACAGAGGGCTTTCCCCACACAGCCCTCTTATCACAAAGGAGCTAAACCTTTGTGTAATGTAACATGTAACTGACCCTAAAGGTCATCAAAACACATCCAGTCTCCTCCCCAGGGATTAAAGGGGGAGACACCCCATTCAGTGTCAGTTTGGGGAGAGTTTACTGACACACAGACAGATTCACCATGCACCAACCTGCACCTGGGATTTTATCTCTTTACTCACAATTTTACAAATGTTGTTTTGGTTCAAAGCCCTTCTTCAAATGATTATTAAAAAAACCCTGTTGAATGAGTCTGTTCTAGTTTATTTCTACTCTGTGCCGTAATAAAAAGGTGTACTCATTATGAAGTATTGGGTTTATTTTACTCACACATTGTCTTCGTGAATTCAAACGTGGTGTGCACGATTAATGCCGGGGCTGTTTGTGTGTGTGTTTGCCAAGTTTGCACTCTCCATTAATATGACATGCCTTTTAATTAGTGCCATAATTGTTTGTGTTGTGTTTGTGCAGGAGTTCGCCAACAAACAAACGGATGCAATTAAACACACTCGCCTTCAGATCATCAATGAGGACGCAAAGTCAAGGCTGGAGGAAAAACCAACAAGGGCAAATGTAAGACGGGAGAAGAGTCTGTTGCCTCAAGGTTAAACTGTGTTAAGAGCCCAACATCACACACTGGATGATTCTTGCTTCTTCTACTAACACACATCACCGGTGGATTTTTTACATTAAACATTCTTATTTTACAACCTTAAAAATTGATGTTATATTTTGGTGTCTTTGCTAGAAAAATATGCTTTCTCTGGTTCTTCTCTGCCACCACACTGTCCTGGAAGTAATAATACAAAAGTAATGAACACAAATAAAGACTATTATATTCAAACCACTGCTGTCTTTCTCCCTCCTCTCTGCACCTCTGTTAGAGTAGCCTGTGTGCTGAGGTGTCTGCGTGGCGTGGTAAAACCTGCCCTGCAGACCGGACCTCTCAAGTCTTCAAAGGAGTAGGAACTCAATGTGGGGGATTTGTTCAGGCTTATTTGGTAACCTAGGATTTGAATTGGATTCTGGGAGGCATTCATAACACATTTGAAAATGTTACATTGTGTGATTTTGTGTGTAATCCCCATAATAATTTTCGAAATGGTCACAGCACTTGCACAACTGTGACTATTCATGATTTATCAAATGGTTTTCTTGTCTTGCCTCTTGGGGGTGAGGTGTGTGTTGCCGGCATATAACGGCACGATCTCTGCCGCTAGTTGTGAGAGCTGGTGAAGAGACAATTCCTACGTTTTACTTTTTCTCTCAACATTGCTTTTTCAATTTTATATGACCTGAATATGTGATAGGGTCAGCCACTGTGCCTCCAGGGATTCTTGCAGACCCCCTAACAGCACTGGAGCATTACAACCTCTAGTGGATTATACCTCCCTGGTAGGAGGGTTAGTGTACACACACACACACACACACACACACACACACACACACACACACACACACACACACACACACACACACACTCTGAGGATACAGTTTATTAATCTCTGTGTATATTTGATCAAAGCCACAGTCATAGATTATTAAATCTGTCCTCTTTTCTCCATCATACATTGTAACCGGCTTCATACTTTCATTAATGCAGTTAAATACAAAAACGTGCCTCGGTATTGTGTTGTACTTTTATTCAGTTTTTTATTCTTAATTCTTGAAATGCCATCTGCCGTCTCATCTCATTGAAGAATATCCAGGATCTATTTTAATTTCTAAGTTTTAACTGCTGGATAAAATATCTGTCCTTGTTTGTGCACTGGCTGTTTCAAGTCTTCACATCACAGTGACATTTTGGAATATAACAAATAAAACATGGCTTTTTTATATCACAGAATCTTGAACTCTCAGAAAAAAGTAGTTGGAAAAAACTAATTTTGCATAAAACTTTACACATACTCTGCTCAGTGAAGGTATGGCTAAATATAACTTTTTCATTTCCAATAACGATACAGCCACCGCGAGTACCTACTGTATACTGCAAACTTTTTCACAATCCTAAACAACGCTGTTAATAAAACATTTGAATCGATGCACAATGCTTAACCTATAGCCATCTTAAAACATCATGCTAAACTGTGAAACAAGAACTGCTCTCCCCTGAAGGCCCACAATATGACTCACTTATGCAATAATGCTGCTTTTTTTTTAATTAGGCTTTTACCACACATCATTTTTAGCAGCATCTTTGTCAGTTCCATTTGAAATGACTTTTAAAGTGCAATGTTGTGCAGTTGAGTATTTAGAATAACAAAAGAATTATAAATCCAGTTTAAACTATTTGATATAACTCAACATTCAATATAGCCTATACCTCAACGACAGTAATTGGCAGATAGTTTAGGCTAATTGATACATTACATTTTCTTCTCCCGATATCTAATCCATTTTGTTCAGTGTTGGACCGATACCTATACCAGGTATCTGATCCTTTCCCCATTGCCATCAAAATGAATGGTGTGTATTTGCCAAAACACTATTTGTTGGCCAGGAGTTTAGCAAAAATGAACAGTGCAGCATGGTTTCCAGATAGTCAAGAAGGAGTGCATAATGTTTTCAGTGGATTAGCTTTCTTTATGAACATGCTCCATCATGGTTTGGAGGCTCCACTGCTTGGTTTCTTGTCTGCTACATGTAACTCTCCCACCTTAGTTTGATAAGAGCGAGAGCAGTAATGTGTGTGTGTGTGTGTATGTGTGTATGTGTGTGTAGATCAGTATTTGTGCCCTGTCCAAACCCCACTTTGCTTTGAATGACACTTTGGCGATGCCCCCAGCTCCCCACTCCGTCTTCTCAAGCATACCCCCTGTTAGTGCCAACTCTGCCAATTCCTCATGTCTTTAATATCTCTCTTTGGACCTTTGGGTTTTGCCAGTGAAGGCTCCCCTGTGACAGTTGGACATTGCCCTCACATTTGGGAGACAGTGGCGGGTGTTTGTTGCTTTCCCAGCCCCGAGCCTGTGGGGAATCTGTGATGGCTCGCCTGTCAGCCGGCCCCTCCCCTGTAATTAGGAGAGTAAACACAGCGCCTGGCTCGGCTTGGGGGAGTAGGAGGGAGCGGAGGAGGGGACCGTCAGGCTCCTGTCCTACTGCTGCTTGAGCGGTCCAGGAGCAACTTCTGAGTGACGGACTGCGATATGCACCCCATCACATCTCTGTGAAGGACTGAGCGTTGTCTGTTAACATGCTGAGAAACATCAAGGATCCATTAGTACCTTGTTAAGCATCAGTGAACCACTGAAGAGGCTGTCATTGAACTGAACCTTTGTTGAGAAAATACAAAGAAACTCATTGCCTAAGAGGATCTGAGAGTATTTCAGATCTGTACAGAGAAGAATATGTTGATGACATGTCATGAACATTTTGACCAGAGTTATTCCCTTGTAGCGCCCAGGCAGATATTATACAGCAAACCACCACTAAGCCTCCGTCCCTCCTCTCCTCACCTCTCTCCTGGTTGCTGGGGGGACTGGTCAGCGGCTGGAGGAATGTGTTGTGGGCTGGAGTTGTAGCCGTAGCTTGGGACAAGCTCGGGGGGAGCGCCATCCCACCCAACCCCAGCCACTCCACTCTGCCCAGGCAGGGAGGCTGGCTGCGGGAATGTCGAGAGACCAGGAGGGGAGGAATTTCAGTGGAGGACCTGCCAGAGAAATGCCATGCGGGGAGCGATGAAGAGAGAAACCTAGATAAAAAAAAGAGAGAGAGAGAGAGAAAAGGAGATCTCAGCCAATTGAAACACAGCCTGTCAGTGTCATTTTGGTTTTGTAGGATGCTTACTGATGATGGGCCAGTTGCTAAATGAGCTGGTTGCCACACAGACACCGTGGCACCGCATCTGACTCAGATCTCTCGCAGATGGCTTGGTGTTCAGTGGGCGTTAACTGAGGTATCTTGAAGTAAAGTCAGTGCATTTTAAACACATTTATTGTTTTACTGTTTTCAGCGTGATTCATTCATCTGTATTAACCACCATCTGCCTCCCCAAGACAGGAGCATGATCACATGCACTAGTTTTTGTGTAAGTACATTTTAAATCAGATGGTGTGCATCAGTGTGTGCATGTGGCGGACAGGGAGAGTACTAGGGGAGGGGTGCTCCAAGGCCCAGTGTACTTGCCAAAGTCTTTACGGCGCCCAGAGAGCCATGCTGCAGCATCATGGTCCACAGCATGGAAAGACATGGGGCAGATGGGTGCAGTGTAGCAGCACAGCCTCCCCCTTCTCCTCCCAAATGCGAGGCAGCAGTGGTGGGAATGGCACAGTGTGAGAGGGAGCCTGAGTTCATGGCTGAAACAGAAAAGCTGTTGGAGGGGCATTTGGGGGCTGGGGAAAAGTGGGGGCTGAAAGCTGTTTTTAGGGGGGGCATTGGAGAAGTTGGTGGGGCAGGCATCCTGCAATGGAGAGGGAAAGCCAGTCCCCCCCTGTCACATCCCTTTGAAATCCAAGTGCAGGGGCACGAGCCCAGGGAGGAGTGGCAGCGTGGCCCAGCGCCTGGGCAGACAGGCAGTCACCGCACTGGGCCGCAGTCCAGCTCTCCTCGCCTGGCCCCTTCCCACCCCAGCCCACCCCGTCTGGCCCATGCTTACAGGAGTCAGGCAGCCGACCCCCAGTGGACAGGCCGGAGCCCTGCACTACTGAGTCCCATCTCACAGCCTTGACTGGGTTTCCAAACAGCTGCAGCATACACCAGGAGACCCTGCAGAGATGGGGAGGGGGTCCCTCTGCTGCTTCACCCAGGCCTCTGGAGGGCCCAGCGGAGTCTGCGCCTGATGATAACCCCCATCTCACCACCAGGCCGTTTTGCCTTCAGGGCCTGCGCAGGTCCACATATCCCCATGGCAACGGTGGCAGGGCCGTCCACACAATGTGAGTGGGCAACAAGCCAAGTGCTGCCAAATCGGGATGAGGGAGAGACATTTTGGGAGAATGCTCAATCCTGAATCTACCTTGACTTTGTCTCTGGGTAATCATAATTTTGGCTCCAGTGATCCTATATCACGGACTTGGACAGCATTTGTTATTTGTCGAGAGGTCAGCAGCAACAACAGAGACAACCACAGGTTCCTTTTGGGGATTTGTCCTCACTGTTGCACGTAAACCACTATTCAGGCTCTAAAATATGAATTGTTAATTTCTTGAAAGCAACGCCAGGCATTTATAAAACTATACTCTCAGGCAGAATTGACTCGTTACATTCGGAAGTATTTGTTGTGTATTTAAAGAGACCTTGTCATGGCAATATTAAGCCTGCGTAAACACAAGTAGTTCAATGACATTCACAGCAGCCACCTAAAGTTGATTCCCCACCCACTCTAAGCCACTGGGAAGATCCTGTATAAGTGGTTGGGTGGTGTTTACTGAAAGTGGATATCTGCTGTTTGTTTTTTTGTGCTGTTTTCTGACCGTAAACACTGCATAGATTTCCTTGAGTGGTGTTTGAAACGTGTGTGTGTGTGCCATGTGTTATATTTGCTGATAAAAGGATTTACTCAAATTGCGAAGCACCAGTTGAGAAAGGTTAATTGTCAGTGCAACTGGTAGAATGGGTACATGCAATAATTATTAGTCTAAGTTGCTTTATTATTTAGGGATGCTAATTAGGCATTAACTGTGGTCCCCTTTTTTGGATCACAACTTCAAATGCATGTCAAATTGCATTAAGTTGACTTTGACATCCATTAATCAAACTAAAGGAATGCTGTTTTGTAGATGTCCTTTGTGTGTTTATTATTATGAAAATGATCTGTTGTTGAGGTATTGAACAGAAAATTAGCAGAGGGATTTTCAGAAATTGCCTAACGAAGTGCATCCTCAAT